GCGGCGCGGGCGGGGCGGACTCCAAGCCGCGGATCCTGCTTATGGGGCTGCGGCGCAGCGGGAAGTCCTCCATCCAGAAGGTGAGGGGTAGCCGGCGGCTTCACGCCCCCGCCTGCCTCGCTGCCTCTCCGGCGCCGAGCTTTTTCTTCTTTCTGTGTTGCTGTTTAGGCAATTTCTGCTTTTTAACGTGGGCGCTTGTGGCGAAGTTGGAGCGAAGGCAGGCTCCTGCTTAAAGACGCTTACTTCCTGGAACGGAGAGGAAGGGTGTGTAGCATAGGTTGTAGCCCTTGTAGTTCTTCACTGTAACGCTTCAAAAATAAAAAGCGAAGATACTGGTGTGAATCCTATAATGAGGTGTTTTCTTATGGATGTGAAAGCACGGTGAGCATACAGGTGTGTGGTGTTTGGCTAGCGCTTCCAGTCGGAATAAGACTTGGGCTGTTATTCTGCCTTTTGATACTTCAGCTTCTGGTTTCCTTTAGTACGATAGACCGAGTGAACGAGAGTCACTGGTCGAAGAGGAAATCAAACCATTTCGGTGCCCTAGGTTTGGTGGTAGCTTTGTGAATTTGCTAGTGTGTCTTAATAAAAATAAGACAAAACTGACCCTTTTCGTTTGCCACGTAGCTCAAGAGAAGCGTAGCAACACTAATAATGATGCTTATTCCTCAGTGCAAATTTTGTATTTGCAGTCCCGATTATGAAGGTTTTAGGTGATATTTTTATGGGAAGGCGTTACTAGTGAAATGCAGTGGCTCTCAAGCTCTAGACTTAGGGACCTCAAACTTTCTTCAAATGCAAGTGTGGAATCCTTTAGAGATTTCTGTAAAGGTTTTGTGCAGAGAAGCCTTTTTTTGAACATTGTATTTTAGCAGGTATGAATTTCTGCTTCTAGCCATCTTATGCAGACTACTTGGTAATCCATTGACTGTATTAGACCAATGGGTCTAGTCAGGAGATTCCTGTCTTTTTGCTGTAGGCTTGCCTTTCTTTAGACAAGGTTTGCGAAAGGTGCCCTGTCTGTTAGAAATTTTTTCCATCGTGCTGTTCTGAAATACAGTGGCAGACTGGGCTGTCATTGCTTTTCAGTCTTTCCAGTTACGTTATTTAGGCCTAATGGCCCCACTGGATGCGCAAATGCAGTGATTGCGCTGAAAGTCTTTTTCTAAGTCTTTAGTCATGTGGACGGCACTCATTGTAGACTCTCATTAGAGATCTTATTGTATTACCCACGGCTGAAAAAAGTGAACCACAAAGGCTAGGGGAAGACCGTTAACTCCAAATTGCAGCTAGATTTTAAGACTTAGAAGTCACTTTATAGATGTAGCTTTTGGACTTTTGAGGGTTTTTTTATGACCAAATTTGGTAGCACCAGTTATCTGAGGACCAATTCAGGTAGTTGTACAGAAAGGGAACAGCGTGATGTTGAGGTGCAATAAGAGGATATAAAATTTATCTCTTGCTGATTGGTTGTCATTCTGGCTTGGGAATTAGAAGCTGTAGTTCTGTTACCTAGGAGTTCATGGTGCTGCTTCCTGAGTGAACTAACTGTGGCAATAATTTGAGACATTCTTGGAGTATCAAGAAGTTTCTCTTTGACAGTGTCCCTGCTCTTAGATCTGTCTGGTCCAAAAATAGTCATAACCAGACCTGACCCTTCTGTCTGGGCATTGATCGTCTTGCTAGGGAGTAGGGGTATGCATGATAAACACTGTATTAGGAAGAGTACTGGCTTTGTGGGAATCTAGAAATTTGCATGAGAAACATGAATTATTAAACCATTCCAGCCTTCTACTGAAAGTAATGTTAACAAGAAGCCTCTCACAAAAGAAAAAATTATTGTGCTGGGAAGGAACTCTCTTTTCCTTTGTTCAGTTGAATTTTCCATGCTGATATAACCTGTAAATGTTCAGTAACAAATTGAGGTTAGAAGATTTTAGGAATGTGACGACTGCTTCAGTTTATAAAACAAATTTTTGTGTGGACTTATGACTTGCATAACTGGACTTATTGTACTGTCTTTACATAATAGGACCTGGAAAAACCTCAAACTGTACCTGATTTTGGGGGTGGGGGTGTGTATGCCCTGGTTTTTTAGGTGTGGTGGTGGTTGTTTTTGTTGTTTTTTTTCCCGGTCATCAGACTTCATGCTCTGCCTTCATAAGATTACCATAAATCTATTACTAGGAGAGGAGTTTGTGTGTGTGGTAGAACCTGAAGCAGCAGCTTGTTTGGAGCTGCTGTAAACCTTTCAGTTATACCCAGCTTTCTTTAAAAGTGTTAAATGAATTGCACTGGGGTAGTAGGGAGTCAGAACTAGCTGTCTGTCATGCTTCTGTAGCAAGCTCTTGTAGAAAATTTTACCACAAGATGTAATGTAGGGCTCCTAATAACTAGTGAATTTCTTTAAAAAACTTTGTCTGTCTTGTCTTCCTTTTTCCCACCCACCCCCAAATCTCTCCTCTGGAAAAAAAGACTACTGGTAATTCTGAGGCCATCTCATTAATTATGCCATCTTAAGAAATCCAGAAAATTAAATCAAGGATTCTGGAAAGCATGAAAATGACAAAAGTATGTCTTACTGCTGTTAGGGAATCCTTTGGAAGTTGTTTTTCAACTGTTTGCTTCCAATTGGTAGATTCTCAACACCATCTTGCAATACCGTACCTTTTCTCTCTCTTTTCAGGGACCTCCTTCCATCTGCCCGTGCAAATTCCTTTCTGGACATCAGGGCACTAGAAATAGTCTAATATTACCTCAAGAAAAAAAGGGGTTTACCATGACTGGAAAAAAAAAAATGGAGTTTGAAAACCCATTCTGCATATGGACTTATAGGTAAAGGTGCCTATTTTTATGTGCAGAATGATCCTCTGCTGCAGTGGGGAGACTGGTTGTTTATGAAGGGCAAGTTGCCTGCTTTGGCTGTACAGACTTCATCAAGGCATGTGTTGTGGTGGCTTGGGACCGCTCCCAGTGAAGGGTTCTTCCCTTTGGGTTATTTGCACTGTGAAGATTCTTAGAGAATTTCAAGCTTTGGTTGTTGTTTTCCTTCAGAGGAAAATGGTGTAGATTTCTTAAGATACAAACCAGTTACTACTGTTTCCAGACAAAGTGTCAAAAAAAGGAAACTATCCTAGATTTGTTACTTTCTCAGCAACTTGTAATTCCTGTGTTAGATATTCTTCTTGCAGTTTTTAGGTGTTGCTACAATGTACCTGATAAGGTGTCTTGCAGTGGCAGATCAGATTTGGTTGTGAGCCCTTCCAGTAGGGATGTTGTGGAAGGCATGATTCTCACTTTATAGGATTAATGTTTGGTGGTCTGGGAAATTTTTGTTTGTATGAATTGGGCCAGCATTTCAGCTGAAAGTGAAATTCCAAGTATGGCTGTTCTCTGATTTGTAAAAAACCAAAAAACCCCAACAACAAGAAAAACAAAACCCCCAAAAACACAGACACATGCTTCTCTGGGGAGTCCATTCATCCATTCGAAGTTTAAGGTAGTTGGAATGAACACGTTGGCAAAATTCTGCTCACAGGTTCAAGGAAGGATAGCTACTTGAGAATTGGGGAAAAAATTGTGAGTTTAAAAAAAAACACCAAAGAAAGGGGCAGTCCAAAAACATAGAAGTGGTTCAGAAGTACTGCATCAGGAGTGCAGCTTAACTGCTGCAGTTCAAAAATAAAACCAAGCGCTGCTGAAGAGAAGTTAGTGTAGAGGAAAGGTTGACATGTCACCAAATAAAAAATATCCTGAAAACTTGTAGATCGTGGGAGGGCAGATGTGAATGAGAAATTCAGAGGGATAAAAGAAAGAGTATGCTGCTAAGAGTGCTTTGGCTGGCAGTGAAAAGTTCTTAAAATACAGTCAAAGCAGGAACTCTGCCAGGAAGTCAGTGAGACCATTGGATGTTGAAGGTGTAACAGGAACACTTGGGAATGATAAAAGCCATAGCAAGGAAACTCAACAGATTCTTAGAATTTTACTAGCTTTGTCTGCTCTGCCTGCATATGGTTAGTCAAAATTGCTTGGCATCAGTGTTAGTTGCCTGCTTCCAGTCAGATGCTTCCACTGCCTTTTTATTTGCTTTACTGAAGCTGTGTAAAGCGAGTAAGAGCAGGGGTGGATGCTAGGCAATAGAAATGGAATTTGATCAAAACTGTGTTCTGGTTCTCCTGTTAGTGTAAAAATCATGGGGAAAATCAGTCTGATGAAATGCACTGCTTTGCAAAGGAGGGGAAAGGGGGATGATGGTATTGCTTCTCAGGGACTCATCTGCTTTAAACTGGATTCACTAATTCTGTCCTGCTCCCTGTGGGAGATGATGATTTCCAAAGAAGGAACATTGATTTCAGAATGCTTTAAAACTGTGCTGTAAACCCAGAGGAATTTATAGTCCTTGCAATATAGCCAGTAGTACCTAGAACTGTTCATAGTTTTCCATACAAATGTCTTGCTGTTTAAAAGCTTATTTAGATCCCTAAACGTTTGCTTTGAGGAACTGATTTTTTTTTTTTTCCCCTTGGTCTTAAAAATCTAGACTGATGTACTACTTTGAACCCCACTAAACAATGAGCATGGAGTTCTCTCAGGTTTTTTTGACAGAGGTTGTTGTACTATGTCTCTTTAATGGATTACTTCTGTAACTGTGTGAGACATTTTCTAAAAAAAAATTACTGGATTTTATATAGGAAACATATTTCTTTTTGCAGGCCTAGCATTTGACCACCAAGTTTGTAGTAACTTTTGTAAAATATGTGAGTTGCTTTAGCGCAGTGTTTGCTGTTGAAGCTGACTGCTTTACCACAGCCTGCTTTGCTGTGGGGTTACAGGCTAGTTCTATTTGTTCAGGGAAGGGCTAGAATACCAGCGGGTCTTTCTGTGCGCTAGCAATGAGTATGTTTTTCATCACAGCAGCTAAACCGTTTACCAACTAGTGTGAAAGCTTTCATTATTTCTTTAGGGTGCTTGAAAGGAGAGGGTCAGCCAACATAATTCAGTTGTTAATAGATGGCAAACTACCTAGTTATTTGGGTCTCTAAAACTGAGATGTTATTTTTGTACACTTTTATTGTAGTTCAGGAACAGTCTGATTATATTATGTCGTAACACTTGACACCAGACTAAAAGCAAAGTTTCCTTTAGGAATTTCTAAGGCTGGAAAGGAACAGTTCTTAGAAGCTCACAGTTGCTCAACTGGTGCGGTGGCTCTATATATCATATCTGAATTGGCTAATATAGCTGAATTTGAAAAGACTGTTAGACTTGCAAGGAAGAAGGAGTAACTGGGATGTCTCTGTCTTTAGGCAGTGGTGTTATTTAGACTTGCAAAAATCTTTAACTCTATTTGGTTGCTTGATTTGGATTGAGGGTAGGTTATTTCCTTAGCTGATGCAGGAAGCTCTCCATTTACCAAAATGAAACTGTACACTTCAGTGGGTAAACCTGTTTGTAAGATTCAAGTTGCAAAACATTTACCGATCTCTTTTAATAAGATAAAGTTGAGACTATTATTTGTGTTCTCTTAACAGGTGGTGTTTCACAAGATGTCTCCCAATGAGACTCTGTTCTTGGAGAGTACCAACAAGATCTACAAAGATGATATTTCCAACAGTTCATTTGTGAATTTTCAAATATGGGATTTTCCTGGACAGATGGACTTTTTTGATCCAACATTTGATTATGAGATGATCTTCAGAGGAACAGGTGCTCTAATATATGTTATTGATGCCCAGGTAAATACAAATCACTAAGAATCACAAAGCAGTTTTCTTTTTGCTTTCTGTGTGAGAGGAACGATCGAGGAGAAGCTAATAACTTACATGTTTAGGTAACTTCATAAAACATCTGTTACATATGAAAGGATGCATTGCCAAGCTAACTGCTGGTGTGTGGTTTTTAATTTTGTGAAGTGACTGGAACATATGCTCCCAGTGGAGAGAGTGGAAAGGGGCAAGTACTCTGAACCTGCCTTTTCTACAGTAATAGTGAGAACCAGAAGTACTAGGTGATCTGAATTATCCCTTCCCTCTGCTATTGACTGCCATGGAGTTCCTTTAATAACAGCACGCTTCTGACCTCGGTTTCAAGTTCTCGTACTATTGGGTATCTGGTAGCTTCTAAGGAATTTAGGAATCGCACTGTGGGAGATTACCAGGTTATTAGGACCATCTTGGAGATCACTGACACCTTTTGTTGGAGTTGAAGTGTAACCTGCCTTTTCCTCTGAAGCCTAGTTTTGTGTAGCTAAGCCTTGTATAGCTAATGCAATTTAATTAACATTCTAAGCTACTTGGATTTCTGACACTCCAAGGTATTTTCTTCTCCCATACTTCTGTTTAGTCGCAGAAGTGAAGTTCTTGCACTGAAATATTTTGTCCTTGTGCACAGTGGAATAGTTATCGGAGATAAAGTCTTGTCATTCACTCCTGCCAAAACTGATTTACAGGATGACTACATGGAAGCTTTAACAAGACTCCACATTACAGTTTCAAAAGCCTACAAGGTCAACCCAGAAATGAACTTTGAAGTTTTTATTCATAAAGTTGATGGTTTATCAGATGACCACAAAATAGAAACTCAGAGGGATATTCATCAGAGAGCTAATGATGACCTTACAGATGCTGGGCTTGAGAAACTTCACCTTAGGTGAGTAAAAGATTCTGGTATATGTGATTATACTGTTGCTGATATATGCATGCTGACTAATGGCTTTTAGATGTAATAGTGGATTGACCCGAGCAAGGCCTTGTTAGTTTAATATTGCACAAACACTTGCTGTAAAATACAGAGTTGAATTTACAGCTCAGCCTTGGCTGTTAGGCTGACTAAAATAAGGCAGGCTACAGATTCCAATTAACATATTTATTCATAAACCCATTGATAATTCAAGGTCTTTTGCATACTTTCCATAAAGCATAACAGGCTGAATTTGCACATGTGGCCTGGAGGGGCAAGGGAAGCTGCCTGCCTTCCAGTCGTGGCCAGTACTGACTGTTAAGTGTGTGACTGGCTTTAAAAGCTTAGTCTCTTACTTGATATTTGGCTCACTTTTAAGGTGTCTTGTACCTTTAAAATGAGCTGTCTTTTCTCTGTTTCTACTGCTATTTTGATTCACATGGAGCTTTTAAGTATTGCCAGTATCTCTTGGTGTTAGTGTGAACAAAGTGGAAAGCCAGGAATGAGACTTGAAGAAACCTAGTTGAGCATTTAATGCCTTTGTGATAAGCACTCTGTAGGCTAAGTGTGTTGTGAAAGCATGTTCAGATTTTTCTCTGTTCTCCCATCTCCTGGGGACAGTCGAAGTCTGTTTCATATTTACTCTAGTCACTCAGAAATTAGGTTCTTGGTGCAGTGGCCAGGTATATTTGTGATAAAGGCATCCCCGTTAAATCATCAGGCCTGAATGTTAGGAAACATAGCTTTAACATTTCTATTACAATCCTGAAATACTCTTGAATCTTTTTTCTTCTTTTTCCCTCCCTCCTCATCTCAGCTTTTATTTGACCAGTATCTATGACCATTCGATATTTGAAGCCTTCAGTAAAGTGGTACAGAAGCTCATTCCGCAACTGCCAACACTGGAAAATCTACTAAATATCTTTATATCAGTAAGTGTTAATCTGACAGAACTTTGAGTGAAATACATGTAATGGTAAAGCAAATCCTTCTGCTAAGGAGTGCTAGCTAGCTGTGCCTGTGGAAGATTTGGGTGGCACTCGGTGTACTCTGCTGGCCTGCTTATCTGCATTAGAAGCACTTTACTACAGCCGAATTGTACTGGTGTGTGCTTTGTGTGGGTTTCACTAAATACTGCTAAAATATAGTTTGGCTGGTTGATATGGAAGTCTTCTACCAGCACAATATAACAATTAGTCTGCTAAGGCACTTAGTAAATGTAGTTGTACTGGTGAGAGACTTTTTTCATAATGTAAACTTGTCCTTGAACTAAACTGTCTATTTCATGTGGCCTGTGAGACTTTTGCCTTTATTCTTTTAGTGTGTGCGTTTCTTACAGAATTTGTGACACAGAAATTTGTTGCTATATAATTTAAATCAAAATACCATCCTAGAGACAAGGCTGAAGCAGCCTGTATCATTTAAACTGTCTATGAGGCTGATGCAGGCATGTTGGCAACGTAGCATAAAACCAGTTGTGATTGAGAGGACCTGTGCAGGTCAGACATCGTCACCCCATGCTACTGAATAATGCTTGTTTCCTGTGTTGCTAGAGGACTGCCTGTAATAACCTGGCCCGATGGATAAAGGCCACATTAATGCACACCCTCCTCAGCACCATGAGGGTATGGAGCATGGGCCTGATGCCAAAAGGATCATTTGGATGTTGTCAGGACTTTGGCTATTCAGACTATCTAGGAAGAAGCAATAAGGAGGGCTTCTGGTGCATAAATAGAAATTAAGCTTTGCCAGAAATCCATAGCGTGTATGTGGTAACTTGCCTAACTGCAGAAAGCTTCTGAACTTAGTATGAGCATGTGCACTTTGCCAAAGTGCTCAGTTAAAAATGGGATGGTACAACTGGCTCGGTGCTTTTCCATACACATAACTGCTGTAATGTAATACTCTTCATGGAGTCATAAGTTTAGAAGTTTGACTTTATTTGCTCTGTATGTTAGAGTACACGGCAACTGCCTCACGCAGAAACTGAACTGCCAAGATTCTACAAGCATAAAATTTGTCAGCACACTGCTATGAAGTCTCTGATAATTTTGTCTCTGAACCTGGTCCGTCAGGTGGATGTGAATGAGTTGGCTCTTCTAGAGTTAATAGAACCACAGAAGAGGAAAACTGCTGAATTTAAGTTCTGGATGCATAGTAAAAAGTAACCTTGATTATCATCTGGTAAATAATAAACTAAAAAGAATTCTAACCCAGTCCCCAGCTTTATTTCTGTCAACTGGAAGGTTTTGTTGATAGGTACTGTGGCAACAAGGGTATTGTATTTATAAACTATATGCTCTAAATCTGTCTTCAACCTCTAAATTGGTTACGTTTAAAGCATTTCCTGCTATTAAGAATGTAAAAGTGTATGAATTCTACTTGAGATTTTTAAAATGCAGTTATTTTAAAAATTCATGCAGATTCTTTCTCTTTCTGAAGAATTCAGGCATTGAAAAAGCTTTTCTCTTCGATGTAGTCAGCAAAATCTACATCGCAACAGACAGTTCCCCTGTGGACATGCAGTCATATGAGTTGTGCTGTGACATGATTGATGTAGTGATAGATGTTTCCTGTATATATGGGTAAGTGATGAATACTCTTAGGAAAAAAGTCCCTAAAAGTTGTAGAATAGGTTTCAAACTGTGCAAGTGGTGCTGGCTTTGTCATCCAGCAAATGCTATCGATTGGTCTGTAAAGCCCGTTGGTTCTGTAAGTACTTAGAATAAAGCCAAAGGGTTTGGCAGCCGGATCAAGCATTTGTACTGTTGGTTTCCCTCCACTCATGGCCTTAGACAGCCATCTGACATTTGTAAAAGTCAATTGTTTCATGTAAAACATGAATACTGCTGTGTCTCATTTGGCATGGTGGGCACAATTATGTTAATTACCTGCAAATAATTGGAGTTGATAGCATGCCATAGCTTGCAAGTGTAACTTGCAGTGACATTGCTTTGAGACTTGCTGCTCTCTAAACAGAACAGCATCTGTGAGGTCAGCTTGAGTCTTGTTGACTTTCTCTGAGGGATGCGTATAGTGCTTGTTTCTCACAATTTACAGTTGAATTATACTTCTCAGTTGATTTTTGAAGTGGCTCTGGAGAAGCGGTAACTTATTTTAGAACTGTGGTTGTAGCCTGGAAAATACAGTGCTGACAAGAAATACCACAATGCCTAACAGTCTGTCTCCTGATGGGTCAACCCAGGGTTGTGTAATTCTTTGTTTTGGGTTTTATTTTCAGGAGTGCTTAGAAGTAGCTTGCAATACATCTTTTGCTTCTGCAATAATTTAACTAACCCTAATAACTTACAGATAGAAAGCAGCATTCTGATCTTTCTTTGTAATTGTGGGTTGGTTTAGCTTAAAACCAAAAAGTGTCCTGCTCCCTGTTGCCCTCCCCCTCCCATGCCCACTCCAGCCTCCTTAAGGAAGTCTTTGTATTAATTTACCAAAAGTAATTTCACTGAGGTGTCACTCCATTGACATTTCTGTGTAGGAGTCCTGCATTAGAATCTTCAAACCAATCACTTGATACCTTACTGTGGCACTGTTAACTCAGTGAGGCAGTGAGTCGCAGTGACTCTTCAGTTTGAAGGTAAACTGTGATATAACTAATGTACTATACTGCCTTCATTAAGAGTGCTCAGGTGTAAGCTGAAAATAGTATTAACTAAACAGCTACAGCTCTTCGTTTGGTATCAAAAGAATCCATGCCAATCACTTGCTCTTAACTGCTCATCTAAGAGAGTATCTAGTGAAGGCCTCTATTCTCGTTAGGTCTAGCTTTCCTGAGAAACTCGAGGTATGATAATGGACTTACTTAGAATAGTATTAATACCCGCTTTGCAGGTTCTTCACTTGCTTACCATGAGTAATATTCTTCTAACTGTATTTCACAGGTATTTGTCTTGAAGTTACATATGCATGCCTTCTAGATTATGTGTTAACTCATTCTTTCTTAGGTTAAAGGAAGATGGCACTGGAAGTGCTTATGATAAAGAGTCAATGGCAATTATCAAGCTCAATAACACAACGGTCCTGTACTTAAAGGAAGTAACAAAGTTTTTGGCATTAGTTTGCATTCTTAGAGAAGAGAGTTTTGAGCGCAAAGGTAAGGACTTCCTCCCATTGAATGGCTTTTATCTCATGTTTTTAATCAACTATAAAATATTAATACTGAATACCAAATATAAAATATTGACTAAAACAAGTCACCTTGAATTTTGTGTAACTAAATTTGTTTAACTTCTTCTGGGAGGAATTTTCTCCCTTCCTAGAGATAGGTATGAAAAGGTCTTATTTTTATTCTTGTGAATCATCACTTTAATTGCTGTCCTCCTGCTCAAATGACTTGTGTAGTTAATGTGGCCTGTGTCACTACTATCTGCTATAGTGGAATCAGTAGAATGGAGTAATGCTTACTATGTTCTGCTTGACAGCTGCTGTCTTGGGAATAGCCATATTGTTTATCTTCATGTCACACTGATGTAATTTAGCGATGACTAAAGAAATCAGCAGTGGTACGCTAGTGCTCTATGTGATAGGAACTTAAAACAAAGTGTTTAATATATTGTGGGTCTAACCAGCTATATAGTTGCTTGGACCTGTAGAAGATGATGGTAGGAATGGTCTTGCCTATATTATGGGGTAGAAATGACAGTGTAGGCCCTAATTTCAAACTATTTCACTTAACGGTGACAGTACTTACCTTGGCATTTTAAAAAGAGAAAAAGCAGATGGGTTCTTTTAATAACTGTACTGTGTTTTGATCTCAAAGTTTTTCTCACCACAGTTAGGATATTTATCAATGACACAAAGTGCAAGATAACGTTCAAGTGTGGTCATGCTGTACTAGCATGTTTTTGGGGGATAATCTTGTGTTGTTCCCTCACATGCTGTTTAATTATGAATATACACGTTGCATTCCAAATGAGTACTTTTTCTTTCTAAAAACTGGGACAGCCTAAATAAATGCTGGCAGCAGTAAAACGTTGTTAAATCTTCTGAATCCAAATTCATACTAAAATAAATAACAAAATAGCTGTTGGTAAAATGAAACATTTGATATTAATTTTGAAGCTCTGTTGATTACATAAATCTGCCAAGCTGAGCACGGTTTTTCCTCTTCTCTTCCCCTCCTTCTTGACAGGTCTGATAGATTACAATTTTCATTGCTTCCGCAAAGCCATTCATGAAGTCTTTGAAGTAGGTGTTGCATCCCACAGAATCTGCAACCATCAGTCAAGCGTCTCAAATATGAAAGCAGTGACTCACAATGGCACACCTCGGAATGCAGTCTAGAGGAAACTGAAAGACGGATAGACTTGTCAGCTCTTCACTCCAAAGTTTTGTGGAACAAGAGAAGAGTAGCCTGAAAGCCTGAAGTATGTTTCACAGGAGAAGAGTGGCGCTAACTGTGGAACAGCAGCTTGTAACTGATGTTGGACAACTGAAACTACTGTAAAAATACTTTGAGGCCAGTGGAGTTAGAAATGGCGGTTTGAAACCAGCTTTATCACAAATGCAGTGGTTTTTCAGTTTGGAGTCCTATATTAACAGTCAGTTTCTGACTGATGGCCGGGTCAAAACTTACAAACGATTGCATTGAGTTTTGTGTGAAACACTGAATAGTCACTTGCTCAACTTTTTTTTTTTTTTTTTTTATCTTTAGAATATCCACTTTTGCTTCAGTTTACCCTTTTGTCATTTTTTTTTTTAAAAAAAAAAAAAAGGTGGTGTTATTGTTTAGGCTTGTGAAACTCAGGCTTTTTGTTTGGTGAGGCTGGTCTCACAAATCATTCCATAAAGTAGTTCTTGCTCTTGCCAGTGTGCTCAGAGTATTCTCGTGAATTCTGTACTTGTTAAGTGGATGCAAGGCAGGGCTCTGTTCTAGTGATTCTGTTTGGAGAGCTGACCTGGAACTTCATTTTAAGAGATAGTGATACTTTGCTTTCCAACCATGCTTCTTGGTATGCTCCCTTGATGGAAAGGAAGTATTAAAACCAGATATAAACTACCTGCTCTCTTTTGCAAGAACATGGATGTCATACATCTGTGTGATTAATCCTATTCACAAAACAACTGCATGGCTAACTAAACTGAAATGTCTGCCATCTGTTGGAATGAAGCAACCACTTTCAGCTATTCCCAAGCAAAGAAATGACAAAGTTACTGACTTTTGATGGTGGATCTCTCTCTCCCCTCTGATAATCAAGGCAATTCCTAGGAAAATGTCTGAGGGCGTTACCCTTGCACGGCAATTAAATATCAGCATGCCACAACCTGCTAATAATACTGAACATTGAAAGTGCGTTGATTCTGTACTGTGGCAAACACCTTGTTTGTCGCCATGCAATCTGAATAGTGTGTTTTGTGATTTTGTGAATGCTGGCTTTCATACTATGGGAAATATATCTGAATCGTTTTTTTCTAATTTATTGGTATTATTACTGCAGATGTCATACTGTACATCAGCCTTGCTATGCTGTAAGCTCAGCTACTGGCCCATAAAGACCTTGCTTCTTTTTACCTGTCCCCATGTGTGTGTAGGTGTTGCGAAGCCACTGGACCAACTGACTATACAAGTGCCACTATAGAAGTTTCTGCAGGAAGATCTGTAACTGTAAACGATCTCTGCAACTGATGTATTTATGTGGTAAGAAATAACCACGGGATTGCTTCTGTGCTTATAGAATGGATTTTCACTGAACTATGTAAAAATGAATATACATGCATTAACACTAGGGTGTATGCACATACTGTGTAAATGTTTATCATTTGCTCTAAAGATGTTGTATGATACTAAATACATAAAGGTTCTGCTCCAAAAGTTACCACAATCAGCAGGAGACTTGGGAATTCAGGTGCTCTAGTTCAGTTCTCTTAATAGCAGTTGTAGTTCTGAACCTAGGCTGAGCCCCTTTTTTGGTAATGGAATTGCAGAATGTTTTTTTAAGGAAGCACTGCAGGCTTGTAAGATTGGGTTTTGTAGTTTGCAAGCTCTATCACAACAGTGTTCTGGTACTCAAGGTGAGAAGTAATTGGCAAGATCACAGGAAGGAAGAAATCATTCCTATTTGTGCAGTGAGTTTTCCATGTTCTGAGTACATGTGTATGTTCCTCTCTGTCTTCACTCTCTACATGATTTTGTGCTAATAAAATGAAAAGATGTCAAACTGTAACACTGTCTCTGTTGAAGGGTGAGACACTTTAACAAAAGTCTATAAAGGCCTATATCATTAAGCAAATTTTAAGAAGTCATGTTATCTTCACAGTATTCTTTTAAAAAGTTAAATACTACTTTCCCATGTGAGGCTTTAAAAATTTTAGTCAATGCTAGCTTTCCTCTCAATTAATAAATGACTCCAAACTGAATACTCAGTTTTCAGAATATGACTTTAGACTTTAAAGGCATATAAACAATGAAGTGACTTGTTCTCTTCTTTTGACTAAGGATGAGCATTAATGCTGCACACTGAAATGCTACCTTCTGGTGTGTGTGTGTGTTATGGTGGTTGTGGTGTTTTGTTTTTTGTGCGTTTTTTTTGGTTGTTGGTTTTTTTTTGACAGCATTACCATATTCCTGAACGGTTGCATTTACTAAAGCTGAACGGTAGCATCTCAAAACAGAATACTCATTATTTTCACTATTGTACAGGTAATATTAGCTTTAAAAGTTAAATTTGTCTCTAGTAAGGAGCACATTATTTCTTTAGTTTACTAGCACTAGGCTTAATGTCCTTCCTAACATACATTAATGTAAGTCACATGCGGCTATTCAGGTAGAGTGTTACTTAATCTGTAGCTGGTTTAGCAAAGCAGTTTTTGGTTTCTTCTCAAATCTTTATGCTGCCAGGGAGGGAATGGGAAGGATAGGAATTATGCTTTATTTTGTCCCTTGTGTGGTGACCTGTGTCGCCTTCCTGTGCTGACCTGCAGGGAGAGATGCTGTTAGAGATAAGGCAGTATCACAGTCTCTCCAATAGAAGGACTGAAACTCTAAAGATGACCATCAACTAGTGCTTCACCTTTTTGCCTTTTTTTTTTTTTTCCTCTGAACCTGTAGTGGCACAGATGCTCTGCAGTCTTTTTTTACAAATAACTTGGGATGTGTGCTTGTAAGGAGAAAAAGACTAACCTGCAGGGAGAAGGAATAAAATCTGAAGGCAAGCCCTGGAAGAGGGGGCAGAGAAATAAAAGATGCTGGGATTCTTCTGTCCTGAAGATTGGAATCCGCTTATCCTTCGGTTGGTCCCTCCCTTCCTCTCAGCGTGACTGCATCCCTCTGCGTGTCCAGCGGGCAGCAGCTGTACGCGTGGGGGCCGGAGCGGGGCCTGCGCTGCGCGCAGCAACAAGGGGAGCGCGAGGAGAGCGCTCGTCGGGCGGCGCCTGC